TCTACGTGTAACTATTTTGTGCATTGTTTCCTTCTGAAACAACAAGTCTAGTACAAAAAGCAAAGCAAAACAGGAGACCCAGGCTCAAGTTCCACCTCTGCCATCTTCTGGCTGTGACCCACATTCCCAGGTGTCTCTCCCTCGCCACGGTGAGTTTCTTCATCTGTTCAACAGGAGTCAAAAAGCCCTTCCTCCCTCCCAGGGTTACTGCGAAACTGGATGAGAGGAGGTGAGTGAAAGACCATGCAGTCTAGAAGCTGGTCACGTGCTTAAAATCGGTCGCCCGTTAGTGTGCGTTGTTCTTTCTTTCCCAGGACATGATTGTAACTGGGACTTACATCGATTCACGTTAATGTCACTAATATTTACATCACCGATGCTAATGACGTTATTAATATGGATTTATGACCACCTGTCAGGCTCTGTTCTAAGCACTTTGTGTGAACTGTGTTACCTCTTTTCATCCTCACAGCAATCCCGAAGCGGGTGCAGTTATGATCCTGCTTTATAAACACGTGAGGAAACGGAGACCCCGGTCTCTTCTCTTTGGAGCCTTTTCCCGGTTAGGGGTCAGGAGCCCTGGCCCTACCCTGCAAGGGGCCTCAGGCCTCAGCCCCAGTTCATAGCAGTGAGGAGCCGAGACTTCTGGTTCCCATCCCCTTTCTGTCCTCTGCGGTCCTTCCTCCTCCTCCTCCTGCCTCTCTTTAGGCATGCTTCACTCTCTGCTCCTGATCGTACACTCAACCGCTAACCGCATCCCCAAACAATCCTGTCGGCAGGGCTGAATCTGATGTCTTTGGGGATAATAAAAGCCAACGCTCCTCCCCAGATCGGCCGTGTTCGGCAACGGATGGGGGCCGCTGGCGGTGGCGCAGCTCAGTGAACTCCTCGTTCTCAGTTACTATCACCAGGAGCGGGCTCCGTCTGGGACGGTGGCCACGTACGGGCAAGGGGCACCTGGGCTTCGTCGGAGACGCCCTGCCCCTGGGCAGTTTCCTGCTCCCGTGTTCTGGGACCCCTAAAACCTTGGAAGTTCTTCGCAGAGATCCGGTCCGGGCCTGCTCCTGATCTGTAACCTCCAGGACCCCAAGAGCCTGGGGCATCTCCTGCCCGACTCCCTCATGTAAGGCAAAGAGTCGAAGGGCGGGTGGATTAGGCTCCTCCTCAAGCATTTCCTGACCACCTACGGCGTGCCAGGCACTGCTTGGGTGCTGGCGCCACGGAGACGAACAAGGACAAATCCTCCCCCTGAGGAATGCTGCCAGCCGAATGCTGACGGTAAGGAATAGGAAGGGGTGTCAGGATAGGGACGGGGAGAGGCAAGGAGGAAGGCCCAGAGAGAAGAGGAGAAAGGGAAGGGAAGGCCACCTAGGGCTGCATCTCGAAGAAGGAGCAGGGGTTCTCAGGGCTACAAAAAAGGGGAGGACATTCCAGACAGAAGAAACGGAATGTGTGAAGACATCGTACACTTGGGGACTGCAGGCATCCTGTGGGGCCAGAACCTACTCGTTCAGCTAGCACAGCCCCCGAACCCTGGGGAGGCTCTGAGAAACACCGGGAACTAGATGTCTATTAAAACCATTGTGATTAGGATCTTTTAAATTTGATAACTATGAATAGAGTCGCTAAACTTAATTGAATGCTTCTTCTGGACCAGACACTGTGCTAGGTACTTGACAGGAATCGTCACTTTGAATATTTCCAGCAACGCTATCAGCGAGATGCTGTTGTCCCCGTCTTACAAATGGGAGCAGGGAGATTTCCTGGCTGAAGTCACCTACCGTTCTACGGGCAAGACCAGGATTGAAATCCAGGTTTATGTAACTCCAGAGTCCCTACTGGTTATTAACCCCCGCTGCTCGGAGCTGTCATGCAAAAGAAGCTGGACTCTATTCCGAAGGGAAGGGAGAGGAGGTGGGAACATTTCAAGCGTGAGAGTGACAGGCTCAAATAAATGCATTTTAAAAAAGATAGCTCTCACACAGAGTGGAAGCCTAGTGGCAGGGCAGAGAGTCTAGCCTGAGTATTTACTCAACCCTCCAGCTCCGAGCTGGGTGAGGGGCTTCAGCTGAGGCAGGGACCAGGGACGGATGGAGAGAGGGTGATAGAATCGAAAGTCAGAACGTAGGTTCGATAGCATTTGGTGACTCATGAGATTTGGACAAAAGGACAAGAGGAAGGAACTTCCGACCGGAACAGGTGCGGGGATGAAGGTGTCTTTGTGTCCGGATGGGGAATACGGAAGGGGAGAAATCGCTTTGGGAAGCAAGATGATGCCGTTTAGGAAATCAGCCGAGTCTGGAGTGCCTATTTTCCATCCAGAAGCACCTGGCCACCAGGCAGTTAGAAATATTGGTGTTGAGCTCAGGACAGGGGTCTCAGCGGAAGATGCTAATTTGGGAGCACTTGGCAGAGAGGCAGAGAGAGGGTAGGCAGGGAGTCCATGATCTCACTGGTGTTGCAGGGAGAAGACAGACGGCCAAGGCCAGCATGGGCGAAACCAGGAATATTGATAAGCCTGGCAGAGAACAGGAGAAGGCTGAGATGGGGACCTGGAGAGGGTGAGGGAGGACCAGGAGAGCGTGTGAACCCAAGGGCCTAGTCCTCTTCGGAGGAAGCAAAGGTGGTGTCATCAGGGCCGAAATACCACGTAGCTTCCCTCTACACACGCGCACACACGCCTCTCCCCTGCCACCCTAAGGCGGAATTCAATCTGAACAAAGACCGTTTTTCACTTCTTAAAAATCCCGGGTTCGGGGTTAGACTTTTCTCACAACCGAGCTAGCCATTAGAGGAAGACCATTTATCTGCCTGACCCTTCATTATCCTTTAACTCTCACCTGAGAGTAAAGAATGATGTAAGTACAGAAACGATTAAACGTCAAAACTTACATTTTAAATCGTTCCCTCGTATTGATGGACTCAGTTTGCGCCGGTCGGTCTCCCAAACAAATGGAAAGATCGGAGAGACTGCCGTGAGGGTGGGCCTTCACAGCGACGGGAACACACAGTTCTTTTCTACTCCCGACTGGATGTCGACCACGCCACTAAACTTCCCTTTGAGATTCAGACGGGGAGACTTCCCGGAGGTTAGGGGTGCCCAGACTGGAAAATGAAAGCAGTGTGATCTCGGGGGCGGGCGGAGGACGCAGAGGGCTGACACCTGACACCGACCTCACAGGTTCCAGGGTCTGCTCAGTTGCTCCCGGACCCGCGATGCTGGACAAGTCACTCACCCGAGAGCCTCGGACTGTACCTCAGAAAGCCCCATCGCCTGGATGTTCCTGAAAGTTCTGCCATGAGGATGGATGAGATGATGGGTGCAAAGGTGGTGCCCCACGCACCTCTAAAGTCCCTCTTTCTGACCTGGAGAGTACAGACCCAGGCCCCTGGCTCCACCCTGCAGTGGGCGCCTAAGCAGGTATGAAGGGTCTGGGCAGAGACCCGGAGGCACGCTCTGGAAATTGCCGTGACCCTGGAGCAGAGACAGGTGGCAACCTGCAGCAGGAGGGGCCTCAGTCCCTACACTGCTCTCCCTTTCTCTGACACATCTCAGGAGAAGCAAGGGGAGCTTTAAAAAACTAAGTTTCTCTCCGTTCCCCTTCTCCCCTCTGTGAGTTCTCACCGATCTCTGTAACGAATGCCTTTAACCTGTCACTGTGCCGCGAGGAAACGGCAAACACAAGTCTTGGCCTCTTCCAGGTGCAAATAAGTGACCGAGAAGGTTAAGAAGCCGTGTCATCTAAGACCTGTACAGCCTTTGCATCTGAGCTCTGCGGAGACGCGCTCTGCAAAACCCCGCCCGACGGCCCTGACCACCAAGAGGCCTTGCCCTTCCACCTCCCGAGCAGCGCGGGAGTCACCTCTCGGGCCTCCAACCCTCACTATTTCCTCAGAGCGGGGAGCTTCATCGTTCCAAAGGAGGACCATGTTCTGCCTGTTTGATTGCTCTTCCCAAGAACCTGAACTCCGAGCGCCAGGTCTGTCCTTCCGGGGGGCGGTGGCAAGGGGCGAGTCCTCCAAATACCCGAAAACAGACTCCCCACACGTCTGAAGAAGACGCGGAGAGAAACTACCAAGTCTGGGCAGGGAATCCAGACATGGGTCGAAGGTGGGAGAGCCGCCTTCGCCGAGTACAGTGAGTCTCCCCCTGCGCCCCCGGGCAGGAAACGGTCCGTTTAGGGCCCAGATCGCGACAGCGGCCTCCGAGTCTGTACGCGCCCCCAGCCCAGCCCCGCCCAGCCCCGCCGGGGCTTTGAGGAGGAGCAGAGGGTGCGAGGTGTCAGCCTGTTGTCGAGTGAAGCCCGAAATTACCCACATTCGAAGCGCGGGAATCCCCAACTTCACCCGGCAGACGCCCGGCGAGACGAAGGACGAAGGGGGCGACTTCCCTCCGCAGCCGGAGAGGCGCGCCCGGTGGGGCCGTTTCCGGCGGGGACGAGGAGGTCGCGGGCGCTGAGCGATCGGCGCGCGCCTCCAGCTGGCTCGCCGAAGGCCAGGTCGGGCGAGCTCTGGACGGCGAGGCCCGAGCGTCCCCTGGTGACGCCTCCCGGTTTCGGGCCACTCGCGGCCCCGAAGCCCCTCCCCCCGGACCTGGCCGGTTTCCAATCCCGGGTCACCGTCGGGCGCCGCCAAGATGCCCCAGAGGAACCCACCCCTGCGGCCGCCTCAGGAAGGGAGGCCGCGCGTCCTAGCCGCGCCCGAGAAAGCAGCGGCCGCCTCGCCAGGCCAGATAAGCAGACCGGCGTCAGCTCCCGCAAGGCTCAGAACCACCGCCGACGGCGGCCGGCGAGAGCTAAAGTGACTAAGAGCTGACCCCTGGGGAGCACAATGCCTCGGCCCGCTCTAACGCCCCGCCCTCCCCCCCGAGGCAATGGGGGCGCCCTCCGGAAGAGCGCGAAGGACAAGCGGCACAGCTCCCTCCGAGTGCTGTTGTGGGTGGCTCTGAAAAGAGCCTTTGGATATGATGGAACCTCGAGCCGAGCGCGCGCCCTTTAAGCCCGCTCCCCGCGGATGCGGCGGGCCAACTGGATGTCCTTGGGCATGATGGTCACCCGCTTGGCGTGGATGGCGCACAGGTTGGTGTCTTCGAACAGCCCCACCAGGTAGGCCTCGCTCGCCTCCTGCAGCGCCATCACGGCCGAGCTCTGGAAGCGAAGGTCCGTCTTGAAGTCCTGCGCGATCTCGCGCACCAGCCGCTGGAACGGCAGCTTGCGGATCAGCAGCTCGGTGGACTTCTGGTAGCGCCGGATCTCCCGCAGGGCCACGGTGCCCGGCCGGTAGCGGTGCGGCTTCTTCACGCCGCCCGTGGCCGGCGCGCTCTTGCGGGCCGCCTTGGTGGCCAGCTGCTTCCGCGGGGCCTTGCCGCCGGTCGACTTGCGGGCGGTCTGCTTAGTACGGGCCATGCCGAGCCAGAACACGAACTTACCAGCGCAGCGACAAGGAGACTAACGGGGGCCGGCCCGCGGCGGCAGTCTTTATAGGCACAGGCTTTTCCCGATTGGGCGGGGCGAGAATTGAAAGTCCCGCGCTGCCTGGCCATTGGCCGCGACGTCATCCGGCCTAGCGTCACCCATTGGCTTGCGCAGAATCCTCCCCTCCCCCGCCCACCCGCCTCGCTGTCTCCTTCCCAGTTTCCCAACACTTTTTCCCACCTTGTTTTTCCTCTCTTTCAGGGCGAGTCATTGTTGATCGGAACCGTGTCCGACTGTCCCTCTTCAGCCCCTCACTCCTTTGGAACACGCTCCCCGCGATACCCTCTTCCTCTCCACGCTTCGTAGCTCCCGAACCGAACCTCGGGCTTCCCTTCGTCCCCCGCCCCCCGCACGCCTTGCTGCTTGCTACCTTTTCGGAGACCCCCAGTTGGTCCGACCGATGCTTTTGCCTTCCCGCCTTTCGGGTGGGAAAGCTGTCCGTCCCCCCGGGCGCAAGATTCCGCCTCCGAGAGCCTAAGTGGGGAACCCGTATCTCGGCCGCGAAGGCGTCTCCTCACTTTCTTGTTAAACTAAGACAGTCGGCTCAGTGAGGCCAAGACCCAGGTCCGCCACAATCCTGAAAGCCGCCCCCTCCTCTACCGACTGGGATGCACATGTGTCTGTGAGAGAGAGAGAGTGGGGGGGGGGGGGGGGAAGAGCCAGAATGAGAACGACAACAGGTCCCCTTCACCCTAAACCTCAAGTGTCGGGCAAAGGCCTCGGGAACGACTGCGGAGTTGCGCCCTCGGCACCGACTCTTACAACACAGCGTCCGGGGCCGCCCGGAAGCATCCATAACTGAATCAACCGACTGCACCTCGGTGCCCGGGGAGCTTAGGCACCTCCATCTGCGTCAGTAAGTCCTTAAGTTTACGAGCCACCGAACCGAGTAAAGGTGGCTAAGGGCTCAAGACCGGAGAAGCCGAGGACCGGTTGGGAGTAGGGAGCAAATGGCACCCCCGCCCCCGTTCTCTCTGGGCCCGGCCTTCCCCACTGACAGATGGAGTCGGGAGCGGCTACTGTAACAACTCTTTTTATTTGAAGGAGTGGGTGGCTCTGAAAAGAGCCTTTGATTTCACAGGTGCCCCCACCACACGGGGGCTGGGCGGGCCTCCGGACGCCGGCCTCACTTGCCCTTTGCCTTGTGGTGACTCTCCGTCTTCTTAGGGAGCAGCACAGCCTGGATGTTGGGCAGAACGCCGCCCTGGGCGATGGTGACTTTGCCCAGCAGCTTGTTCAGCTCCTCGTCGTTGCGGATAGCCAGCTGCAGGTGACGAGGGATGATACGCGTCTTCTTGTTGTCTCGGGCCGCGTTGCCCGCCAGCTCCAGAATCTCCGCGGTCAGATACTCGAGGACCGCCGCCATGTAGACCGGCGCGCCGGCCCCTACCCGCTCGGCGTAGTTGCCTTTGCGCAGCAGGCGGTGCACTCGCCCCACCGGGAACTGGAGCCCAGCGCGAGAAGACCGCGACTTCGCCTTAGCGCGGGGCCTTCCCTCCCTGTTTGCCACGGCCAGACATGACGGGGACACTCTCTGCGATCCGCTACCGCTCGACAACCGCCAAAGTCGCCCGAAACGGCTCCGCTTCACCCTCTTATAGGCAGAACGGCGATTGTCTACGGAGCATTTTGATTGGCCAAAGCGTAGCTTTGCTCTGGTGACCAATAGGATAGCTCAGCTAGAATCCACTCATTTACATAATCTCGTCTCCCTCGCAGGCGCGCCACTGAAAACTCGCGAATCACAACGCAGCGTAATCAGAACCTTAATTTGCGTACAGCCTCTATAAGTACCGAGTCGCTTCCGGCAGCCTCGGACCCGCTGTTGGGTTTGCTCGCCTGCTCGTGTCTGGCGCTCGTGCTTCCCGCTATGCCTGAGCCGGCCAAGTCCGCGCCCGCGCCCAAAAAGGGCTCGAAGAAAGCGGTCACCAAAGCCCAGAAGAAAGACGGCAAGAAGCGCAAGCGCAGCCGCAAGGAGAGCTATTCCATCTACGTGTACAAGGTGCTGAAGCAGGTGCACCCGGACACCGGCATCTCGTCCAAGGCCATGGGCATCATGAACTCCTTCGTCAACGACATCTTCGAGCGCATCGCCGGCGAGGCGTCCCGCCTGGCGCATTACAACAAGCGCTCGACCATCACGTCCCGGGAGATCCAGACGGCCGTGCGCCTGCTGCTGCCCGGCGAGCTGGCCAAGCACGCCGTGTCCGAGGGCACCAAGGCCGTCACCAAGTACACCAGCTCCAAGTGAGTCCCTGCCGGGACGCGGCGCTCGCGCGGCTCCCCGCCCGCTTGACTCCAAAGGCTCTTTTCAGAGCCACCCACCTAATCAGCGGAAAGAAGCTGTTTCTGCTATCCGACTTTCCGTTCTGTTTATTTCCCATACACCTATCCCTTTCCCTAGTGAAGATCTGCCTTTTTCCTAAAGGTAACACCAAAGGGAATCCAAGATGCTACCAGATCCTGTAACTCTTCGAGAGCTCGCCAGAGTACATGTTCATTTGCACACAAGTTACTTGCCCCGTCCACAGTGAAAGGGATAGGATGCGTGGCGATCACTGCAATACTTTGAGGCCACGCCCTGTCACATTTAGTAACCTTTCCTGGTATACCTCGATAGCTTGATTCTGTGGTTGAAGTAGTTTTTATTTTATACTCTTGTCTCATTCTGGTATTCCTTTCAGGCACACTGAATCAATACCTACTTATTGCTCAAATTCAAGACGTTACACGATGGCAGAATAAGATAATACAAAGGTAACTTACCTATAGTAAATCTTTTTTGGTCGAGTGTTGATAACTACACGATTCCCCAGAGTTGTTGTTTTGGTATATTATAATATTCTGGATGAGAAAGGGAGGAGGAAAGAGGATGTATACATATTCAGGGATTTCAAAAACCTGGGTCCGCTAATCATAGAATGTCCTACAGAGACTTTATTCAGCAGCTTATATTGTTGCAACTACTTAGACTTAAAAATATTTGTCTCTTCTCTCGAACAATTCATTCTCTTTCTCTTCAAAAATGGAGGCTTAAAATTAGAGAATAATAAAGGCCCTTTCTGTTTTTGAGACTAGATGATCAGAAAGTAGTGTTTCGTACAACAGTTCAAAGACCATTAGACCTGTCCATAAGACTCCACATACTCCCACTGAACCCCGATCACTGGGGCCCTGAGGGGAAAGGCAATGAACCACCTATGGTACTCAGCAGGGGATTCATGTTTGACAACCACTGACATATTGGTTGTGTGGTTGACATATTCCTTGGTAAGAATCTGTTCACAGTTTTCAGTCAACACCCCAGACATATTCTTCTTTGTTTCCCTAATTGTCCTTTCCCAGAATTTTTTGAAAAGCTACATAGAAAACTAGTTTCATTCATTCCCTCATTAACTCAGGGCACCAAATATAGCATAGGATTTTACATTTCTACCTTTATTACGGTTTAAAAACACATTTTAAAGAGGTCAGATGAGAACAGAAGATAAAGTACTAAAATAAAGGCATAAAACTGAAACTTCCTGGGAAAAGATATGTTAAGCACACTGCAACAGTGTCCTAGCTCATCCCCTTGCTTTTCCTCATTTTTTTCCCTTATGTACCAACATGAAATCCCAGGGTCAGCCTGGGTGGCCTGGTTGCCTAGTGGTTAAGTTCAGTGTGCTCTGCTTGGTGGCCTGGGATCAGTTCCCAGGCGTGGACCTACACCACTCATCTGTCAGTGGCCATGCTGTGGTGGCAGCTCACATACAAAAAAAAAAAAAAAGAGGAAAACTAGCAATGGATATTAGCTCAGGTTAATCTTCCTCAGCAAAAAGTAAAATAAAATCCCAAATATTATCTTCCAGGAGGATTTTCATTACCTTCTGTCTGCTCCATCCAATCAAAAACAGATAACCTATTTCCTAGTTGTTGTACTAGATCCATTGCATCTTTCCAAGGCTTAGGGCCCAGGAAACATTTCCCTGCTTTTGCACATCCTTGCTTGGATCTTCTGAAAGATGAAGCCAGCTTGCTGAAGCTTGAAAAGTTCAGGTAAAGCATGGAGATGGGGAGGGAGGAGGGAAAGAAAATAGGGGAAATATTGAGTTTACAGGGTAGGGATATAACAAAAACCATTTGAAGAGGTTTGAAGGATGTTGGGTAAATAAACTATGTATATATATGGGGGAAGGAGTGGTCAATATTTGGTTCTGAGGACTCAGAATATGGGTAGGAAAGCAGAAAGCAGCTCATCTTGAAAGGTGGAGAAAGTGACTCAATGTAACTATGTTACCCATCGAGCAATAATTCCCTTTGACACCAACATTTACATTTACAGGTGTGAAAGCAAAATTGACACCTTGTTCAGGGTCCATTATGAGTATTTGTGTATATCATTTCCCAAAATAAAGGAGAGGACAAAAACATACTTTGCACCCTGAGATAAATAAAACATGCTGGGGATACAGCAGTAAACAGAATAGAAAAAGTCCCTGTCCACATAAAGCTACATTCTAGTTGATGGATGGTAAAAATAAGCAAATGAAAAAAATGTATAATAGCATAATATTCAGGGTGTGATATGTACTATGAAGTAAAGCAGAATATGGAGTGGAGTGTGGATGAAATATCTGATCAGTTAATATTTGAGGTTTGAATAAAGTAAGACAGTGAGCCATAGAATATCTTGGAGAAGAGTATTCTAAGTACAGAAAACAGCAAATGCAAAGGCCCTGAGGCAGGGCGCAAGTTTGAGGAGTTCAAAGAATAAGCAAGGCCACCATGGCTGAAGCACAGTGAGCAAAGGAAAGATTTTCAGGAAGATGAGATCAGAAAGGTAGTTGAGGGTCAGATCATGTAAGCCACTGATGTGCCTCATAGGTCATTGCAAAGATTTTACCTTTTATTCTAAATAAGTTGGAGTGCCTTTGGAGAGTTTGATCTGGGTAATGACATTGTTTGACTTATGTTTCCTTAAAGCTCACACAGGATGCTATGTTGAAAAATATACTTCAGGAGAAAGGGCCGGCCCCATGGCCTAGTGGTTAAGTTTGCCATGTTCCACCTTGGCAGACCAGGCCCAGTTCCTGGGCGTAGACGTACACTACTTGTGAGCAGCCATGCTGTGGCAGTGACCCACAAACGAAAGAGAGGAAGATTGGCAGATGTTAGCTCAAGGCAAATCTTCCTCAAGCAAAAAGAGGAAGCTTAGCAATAGATGTTAGCTCAAAGTGAATCTTCCTCTGCAAAAAAAAAAACAAAAAAACCCCCAAAAAAACCCTTTAGGAGAGAGAGTAGAGGCGGGAGAGTATCAAAGAGGCTACAGTAATAGTTCAGGAGAAAGATAAGTGGGAGCAGTGAAGATGGCAAAAAGTAGTCAAGATATATTTTAAATGAAATTGATGACTTGAATGTAGGTTATGACAGAAAAAGAAGAATTGAGTTAATTGCAGGTTTTTGGACTGAGCACTTGGAAAGAGCTGCAATTTACTGAATAAGTGATGAGCAGTTTTGGAAGGGGAAAACTGCGAGTACTGTCTTGGACAAAATTTTGAGACTCCTAGTGGTTATCCAAGTGGAAATACCAAACAGGAAATATATAATTCCCAAGTGGGAATATGAAATATGAGAATCTGGAGCTCAGGGAAGAGAAAGGAGTTAGATTTATAAAATCTCTTTTTTTTTCTTGCTCTTTTGTAGGTAATCTACCTTTTCCTTCTGGAAGCATTTGGAATCACTATGATACATCTGGATATGATTTTTTTCCTAGGAATGATTTAGCTTTGGTCTCAGTATTTGACCAAAATCCCCTATCTGACTTAAGTTTCAACCTCAGACTTTAGAAGGCAGAGCAACCAGATGTCTAAGTCAGTTTTATTTGGGTATCCCTGGACTAGCGCAATCACAGAAATCACCGTTACCGCGAATGAGTATGGATAGCAAAGTATGATGAATAAAGGATGTCATTCAAAGTTATAGTCAATAAATGGATGATCACTCTCAAATATACATAAGCCTTTTAAATATAATTGAGTGAAAAGTCTTATGTGTTCACATGTTGAAATTCTATCAGTCAACATTATTTTAGTACAAAATGGAACAATTAATGTCTTAAAAGCTGTTTCTGCACTAGTTTTTAAAGTCTTTGGTTAAAAGTTTAAAAAATTTCTCAATTTTTTGTTTTGGAGAATTCAAACCTACAGAAAAGGTAAAAAAATAGTACAAGGACCAACCATATCTTCTCTTTTTATGCACACACACACATTTTCTGAATCATTTGCAAATAAGTTACAAACGTCTTGACACTTCTCCCTAAATCTTTATTTAGCAGCTCTCTCTTAAAAATAAGGACGTTCTCCTGTGTAACTACCATACAATTATTACACCCAACAAATGTAATATTGATTCAATAATATTAACTAATATGCAATCCATATTCAAGTTTCTCCAATTGTCAAAAAAATACCAAAATAGCCGTTGTATTAGTTTCTTATGGTTGCTGTAACAATTTACTATAAACTTGGTAGCTTAAAACACATTTATTCTCTTACAATTCTGGAGATCAGAAGCACAAAATCAGTTTCACTATGTGGAAAGACTGTGCTCTCCCCAAAGGCTCTAGGGGAGAATTCATTTCCATGTGTTTTCTAGCTTCTAGAGGGGCGTTTCTTGGCTCATGGTCCGTTCCTCCACCTTCAAAGCGGACATCACATACCATCTTCAAACCTCTCTCGGTTTCCATTGCCTTCTTCTTCCCTTGACCTTTTGGCCTCTCTGTTGTGAGGACCCTGGTGGTTACATTTGGGCTGACCCAAATAAACCAGGATAATCTCCCTATCTCAAAATCACATCAGTAAAGTCCACTTTGACATTTAAGGTAATATTCACAGATTCTAAGGATTTAGATGTGGACATATTTTGGGGGCCCATATACAGCCTACCACAGCTGTTGACTACAGTTATGCGTTGAATTTTGTCCCCCAAAAAGATACGTCGAAGTCTAACTCCCCAGTGCCTTAGAATGTGGCCTTATTTGGAAATAGGGCCTTTGCAGATGTAACCAAATTAAAATGAGGTCATTAGGGCAGGCCCTAATCCAAGATGACCAGTGTCCTTATAAGATGTAGAAACACACAGGAAGAAAACCGAGACAGAAGTCAGTTGTGCTGTCATAGCCAAAAAGAACCTGGGGCTACCAAAAGCTGAAAGACAATCAAAGATCCTTGCCAAGAGCCTTTAGAGGGACAGGGCCCTGCCAACACCTTAACTTCAGACTTCCGGCTTCCAGAACTATGACAGAATAAATTTCTGTTGTTTTAAAGCTACTCAATTTGTGGTATTTTGTTATGATAGCCCTAAGAAACTAATACAACTACTAAAAATTTTAATAGTAGGATTATATTATTTACTTTAAAATTTTTAATAACATTTCAGATTTTTTTGTTTAATCCCAGACATTCCTTCCTACTGGTATGTTAATCTCTGGCTCTGATCAAATATTGATTTCAACACTTGGAGATTTAGTCCAAACATGTAGTTGGAACACCTCTATTTTTCCTTATCTACCCTATTTGGCCTCTTTGAGACCTTTTAAGATGAAAGGTCTATCATATTTTATTCTGGGAAATTACTTGTTATTATTTCTCAAATGTTTCAAGATCTGAACTAGTTTAAATAAGAGTATGTCAGACAAGCTGGCTTAACTGGATGTCCGAAGATACAGCAGGGCTCCGAGGCTGGCTAAACTCCATCAGCTGCTCTGTGCTCTGATTCTCTCTCTCAGCTACACCCTCCTCCTGAGTGCTGGCTACAATCATTCTCGCTTTCACATCCTCAGAACACTTCATCCTGCTGCTGCCTCTTGAAAGCAAAAAAACCTTGTTTCCCAAAAGATAAGAGCCATCTACATTCCCCTACTCAGTTATTTAGTTCAATTTCTGAAATGTTTGTGCTAATGAGATTGGTCTAGATTCCTGAACTAATCAATGTGGGAAGGGGGTTGGAACTACATTTAAACCAATCAGGTCAACCCTAAGAACTGTGGATAAGATCTGTTTTCTGGGAAACACATGTGGCAGTGGTTCCTAAACTTGACTGCCCATTAGTGTCACCTGGGGAGCTTTTTTTAGCTCCTAAGTGTAGGCTGTACCCCAAACCACTTAAATCAGAATTTCTGGGGGTGGCACCGAGGCATCAATATTTTTTTAAGTTCCCCAGGTGATTACAACATCCGGTCAAGTTTAGAACCACCTACATAGGGGAATTCCTTAATGAAAATCAGGATACAATTACAGAAACAAAAGGAGAACAATAAAAGCTACACAGTCAATAAAATACATTATAGGACTACTAAGTTATAATTCATGACGAACACATAAGAAGAAATAAAGTCTTCGAGAATACTTCAAGCAAACACCTAAAGAGAAATAAAGCCCAGAAAAATACTTTTAGGTGACAGTCTTCATCCCCACTGCTCTGTGTTTGAAGGTGGTCCTTAAAGGCAGGTTTGTGTTCTCGTTGCTGAACCCTAGATGCCGCTCTCAAACTGCCAACTCCATATATCCACTTGAATGTCAAAAAGCTTCTCAGTTTTAAATCAGAACCCTGGGTCTCCCTTCAATGCCCCAACCCACACCTCGTCCCAGTATTCAATCCTAATTAACAGTACCACTATCTGCCCAGTTGCTCAAGTCTAAAATCTAGGGGTTTCGCTCTTACCCAAATCCTATTCCTCAGCAAGACCCGTCAATTCTACCTCCAAAATATAATCCTAAACCCAACGTGGCTCACCATTTCCATTATTATCACTATTCCAATCCAACATGTCTAGATCTCCCATTGGTGCTACACTTTAGCATGCATCAGAATCACCCAGAGCGCTTGTTAACAGTTTATTAGGGTCTGAAAATTTCACTTTTATTAAATTCTCAGGTAACTGATGCTGAACTGGAGACCAGACCTTAAGAATCACTGCTCTAGCCCACAATACTGTAATAGCTTCCTAATGGGTTTTCTTGCTTCTACTGCGGACATCTAGGACCTATGACCCATAAAGCAACCACAGTAATTTTTTTAAAGATTAAGGTTATGTTATTCCCATCCCTGCCTAAAACAAGCCAAGAATTCCTAAAGCACTGAGTCTAAACTCTCAAGCCGATCAACCTACTTTGCATTTTCCCAGCCATACTGGGGCTTTCTGCTCAAGTGCTTCAAACTTTCCTGCTTCAGAAATTATGCATATTTTGTTTCCATGTATAGGAATATCCTTTAAATTGGACACACTTTTCTGAGTGATAATTATTTTGGGGAAACAAAAGCTTTGTTAGTACCAAATATAAAAGTCGAGTTATCCCTCCTTTGAAAATAGGTCAGAAGCACGTAAAGCAAAAATTTAAGTACTGTACCATTTGGGAACACCAGACGGTTGTACCTTTGTTACCCAACTTTCTCATGCCACATAATTCAGTTAATCAAAACTAACACAGCATGTCACTAGGAAACAATTTAGATGTGCGCATGCTCACCCGTACGTGTCCAAGCCGAAGAGTTTCAAGAGTTCTCTCAGTCAAGTCACAGCCTATCTATATCCCATACTAGATCCTTGAACAAACTTACGTAAGAAAACCTATTCTAAGGAAAAACATAGATATTTAGATCTAACAAGCGTGAGCTATCGTAATGATAGCTAAAAAAAACCCCACAAAGGTACAGCAAAACCTAACAGGAAGGCCACGTAAAGTAAACACAGCTTCTTTCCGCTGATTAGGTGGGTGGCTCTGAAAAGAGCCTTTGGAGTCAAGCGGGCGGGGAGCCGCGCGAGCGCCGCGTCCCGGCAGGGACTCACTTGGAGCTGGTGTACTTGGTGACGGCCTTGGTGCCCTCGGACACGGCGTGCTTGGCCAGCTCGCCGGGCAGCAGCAGGCGCACGGCCGTCTGGATCTCCCGGGACGTGATGGTCGAGCGCTTGTTGTAATGCGCCAGGCGGGACGCCTCGCCGGCGATGCGCTCGAAGATGTCGTTGACGAAGGAGTTCATGATGCCCATGGCCTTGGACGAGATGCCGGTGTCCGGGTGCACCTGCTTCAGCACCTTGTACACGTAGATGGAATAGCTCTCCTTGCGGCTGCGCTTGCGCTTCTTGCCGTCTTTCTTCTGGGCTTTGGTGACCGCTTTCTTCGAGCCCTTTTTGGGCGCGGGCGCGGACTTGGCCGGCTCAGGCATAGCGGGAAGCACGAGCGCCAGACACGAGCAGGCGAGCAAACCCAACAGCGGGTCCGAGGCTGCCGGAAGCGACTCGGTACTTATAGAGGCTGTACGCAAATTAAGGTTCTGATTACGCTGCGTTGTGATTCGCGAGTTTTCAGTGGCGCGCCTGCGAGGGAGACGAGATTATGTAAATGAGTGGATTCTAGCTGAGCTATCCTATTGGTCACCAGAGCAAAGCTACGCTTTGGCCAATCAAAATGCTCCGTAGACAATCGCCGTTCTGCCTATAAGAGGGTGAAGCGGAGCCGTTTCGGGCGACTTTGGCGGTTGTCGAGCGGTAGCGGATCGCAGAGAGTGTCCCCGTCATGTCTGGCCGTGGCAAACAGGGAGGGAAGGCCCGCGCTAAGGCGAAGTCGCGGTCTTCTCGCGCTGGGCTCCAGTTCCCGGTGGGGCGAGTGCACCGCCTGCTGCGCAAAGGCAACTACGCCGAGCGGGTAGGGGCCGGCGCGCCGGTCTACATGGCGGCGGTCCTCGAGTATCTGACCGCGGAGATTCTGGAGCTGGCGGGCAACGCGGCCCGAGACAACAAGAAGACGCGTATCATCCCTCGTCACCTGCAGCTGGCTATCCGCAACGACGAGGAGCTGAACAAGCTGCTGGGCAAAGTCACCATCGCCCAGGGCGGCGTTCTGCCCAACATCCAGGCTGTGCTGCTCCCTAAGAAGACGGAGAGTCACCACAAGGCAAAGGGCAAGTGAGGCCGGCGTCCGGAGGCCCGCCCAGCCCCCGTGTGGTGGGGGCACCTGTGAAATCAAAGGCTCTTTTCAGAGCCACCCACTCCTTCAAATAAAAAGAGTTGTTACAGTAGCCGCTCCCGACTCCATCTGTCAGTGGGGAAGGCCGGGCCCAGAGAGAACGGGGGCGGGGGTGCCATTTGCTCCCTACTCCCAACCGGTCCTCGGCTTCTCCGGTCTTGAGCCCTTAGCCACCTTTACTCGGTTCGGTGGCTCGTAAACTTAAGGACTTACTGACGCAGATGGAGGTGCCTAAGCTCCCCGGGCACCGAGGTGCAGTCGGTTGATTCAGTTATGGATGCTTCCGGGCGGCCCCGGACGCTGTGTTGTAAGAGTCGGTGCCGAGGGCGCAACTCCGCAGTCGTTCCCGAGGCCTTTGCCCGACACTTGAGGTTTAGGGTGAAGGGGACCTGTTGTCGTTCTCATTCTGGGCTCTTCCCCCCCCCCCCCCCCACTCTCTCTCTCTCACAGACACATGTGCATCCCAGTCGGTAGAGGAGGGGGCGGCTTTCAGGATTGTGGCGGACCTGGGTCTTGGCCTCACTGAGCCGACTGTCTTAGTTTAACAAGAAAGTGAGGAGACGCCTTCGCGGCCGAGATACGGGTTCCCCACTTAGGCTCTCGGAGGCGGAATCTTGCGCCCGGGGGGACGGACAGCTTTCCCACCCGAAAGGCGGGAAGGCAAAAGCATCGGTCGGACCAACTGGGGGTCTCCGAAAAGGTAGCAAGCAGCAAGGCGTGCGGGGGGCGGGGGACGAAGGGAAGCCCGAGGTTCGGTTCGGGAGCTACGAAGCGTGGAGAGGAAGAGGGTATCGCGGGGAGCGTGTTCCAAAGGAGTGAGGGGCTGAAGAGGGACAGTCGGACACGGTTCCGATCAACAATGACTCGCCCTGAAAGAGAGGAAAAACAAGGTGGGAAAAAGTGTTGGGAAACTGGGAAGGAGACAGCGAGGCGGGTGGGCGGGGGAGGGGAGGATTCTGCGCAAGCCAATGGGTGACGCTAGGCCGGATGACGTCGCGGCCAATGGCCAGGCAGCGCGGGACTTTCAATTCTCGCCCCGCCCAATCGGGAAAAGCCTGTGCCTATAAAGACTGCCGCCGCGGGCCGGCCCCCGTTAGTCTCCTTGTCGCTGCGCTGGTAAGTTCGTGTTCTGGCTCGGCATGGCCCGTACTAAGCAGACCGCCCGCAAGTCGACCGGCGGCAAGGCCCCGCGGAAGCAGCTGGCCACCAAGGCGGCCCGCAAGAGCGCGCCGGCCACGGGCGGCGTGAAGAAGCCGCACCGCTACCGGCCGGGCACCGTGGCCCTGCGGGAGATCCGGCGCTACCAGAAGTCCACCGAGCTGTTGATCCGCAAGCTGCCGTTCCAGCGGCTGGTGCGCGAGATCGCGCAGGACTTCAAGACGGACCTTCGCTTCCAGAGCTCGGCCGTGATGGCGCTGCAGGAGGCGAGCGAGGCCTACCTGGTGGGGCTGTTCGAAGACACCAACCTGTGCGCCATCCACGCCAAGCGGGTGACCATCATGCCCAAGGACATCCAGTTGGCCCGCCGCATCCGCGGGGAGCGGGCTTAAAGGGCGCGCGCTCGGCTCGAGGTTCCATCATATCCAAAGGCTCTTTTCAGAGCCACCCACAACAGCACTCGGAGGGAGCTGTGCCGCTTGTCCTTCGCGCTCTTCCGGAGGGCGCCCCCATTGCCTCGGGGGGGAGGGCGGGGCGTTAGAGCGGGCCGAGGCATTGTGCTCCCCAGGGGTCAGCTCTTAGTCACTTTAGCTCTCGCCGGCCGCCGTCGGCGGTGGTTCTGAGCCTTGCGGGAGCTGACGCCGGTCTGCTTATCTGGCCTGGCGAGGCGGCCGCTGCTTTCTCGGGCGCGGCTAGGACGCGCGGCCTCCCTTCCTGAGGCGGCCGCAGGGGTGGGTTCCTCTGGGGCATCTTGGCGGCGCCCGACGGTGACCCGGGATTGGAAACCGGCCAGGTCCGGGGGGAGGGGCTTCGGGGCCGCGAGTGGCCCGAAACCGGGAGGCGTCACCAGGGGACGCTCGGGCCTCGCCGTCCAGAGCTCGCCCGACCTGGCCTTCGGCGAGCCAGCTGGAGGCGCGCGCCGATCGCTCAGCGCCCGCGACCTCCTCGTCCCCGCCGGAAACGGCCCCACCGGGCGCGCCTCTCCGGCTGCGGAGGGAAGTCGCCCCCTTCGTCCTTCGTCTCGCCGGGCGTCTGCCGGGTGAAGTTGGGGATTCCCGCGCTTCGAATGTGGGTAATTTCGGGCTTCACTCGACAACAGGCTGACACCTCGCACCCTCTGCTCCTCCTCAAAGCCCCGGCGGGGCTGGGCGGGGCTGGGCTGGGGGCGCGTACAGACTCGGAGGCCGCTGTCGCGATCTGGGCCCTAAACGGACCGTTTCCTGCCCGGGGGCGCAGGGGGAGACTCACTGTACTCGGCGAAGGCGGCTCTCCCACCTTCGACCCATGTCTGGATTCCCTGCCCAGACTTGGTAGTTTCTCTCCGCGTCTTCTTCAGACGTGTGGGGAGTCTGTTTTCGGGTATTTGGAGGACTCGCCCCTTGCCACCGCCCCCCGGAAGGACAGACCTGGCGCTCGGAGTTCAGGTTCTTGGGAAGAGCAATCAAACAGGCAGAACATGGTCCTCCTTTGGAACGATGAAGCTCCCCGCTCTGAGGAAATAGTGAGGGTTGGAGGCCCGAGAGGTGACTCCCGCGCTGCTCGGGAGGTGGAAGGGCAAGGCCTCTTGGTGGTCAGGGCCGTCGGGCGGGGTTTTGCAGAGCGCGTCTCCGCAGAGCTCAGATGCAAAGGCTGTACAGGTCTTAGATGACACGGCTTCTTAACCTTCTCGGTCACTTATTTGCACCTGGAAGAGGCCAAGACTTGTGTTTGCCGTTTCCTCGCGGCACAGTGACAGGTTAAAGGCATTCGTTACAGAGATCGGTGAGAACTCACAGAGGGGAGAAGGGGAACGGAGAGAAACTTAGTTTTTTAAAGCTCCCCTTGCTTCTCCTGAGATGTGTCAGAGAAAGGGAGAGCAGTGTAGGGACTGAGGCCCCTCCTGCTGCAGGTTGCCACCTGTCTCTGCTCCAGGGTCACGGCAATTTCCAGAGCGTGCCTCCGGGTCTCTGCCCAGACCCTTCATACCTGCTTAGGCGCCCACTGCAGGGTGGAGCCAGGGGCCTGGGTCTGTACTCTCCAGGTCAGAAAGAGGGACTTTTAGAGGTGCGTGGGGCACCACCTTTGCACCCATCATCTCATCCATCCTCATGGCAGAACTTTCAGGAACATCCAGGCGATGGGGCTTTCTGAGGTACAGTCCGAGGCTCTCGGGTGAGTGACTTGTCCAGCATCGCGGGTCCGGGAGCAACTGAGCAGACCCTGGAACCTGTGAGGTCGGTGTCAGGTGTCAGCCCTCTGCGTCCTCCGCCCGCCCCCGAGATCACACTGCTTTCATTTTCCAGTCTGGGCACCCCTAACCTCCGGGAAGTCTCCCCGTCTGAATCTCAAAGGGAAGTTTAGTGGCGTGGTCGACATCCAGTCGGGAGTAGAAAAGAACTGTGTGTTCCCGTCGCTGTGAAGGCCCACCCTCACGGCAGTCTCTCCGATCTTTCCATTTGTTTGGGAGACCGACCGGCGCAAACTGAGTCCATCAATACGAGGGAACGATTTAAAATGTAAGTTTTGACGTTTAATCGTTTCTGTACTTACATCATTCTTTACTCTCAGGTGAGAGTTAAAGGATAATGAAGGGTCAGGCAGATAAATGGTCTTCCTCTAATGGCTAGCTCGGTTGTGAGAAAAGTCTAACCCCGAACCCGGGATTTTTAAGAAGTGAAAAACGGTCTTTGTTCAGATTGAATTCCCGCCTTAGGGTGGCAGGGGAGAGGCGTGTGTGCGCGTGTGTAGAGGGAAGCTACGTGGTATTTCGGCCCTGATGACACCACCTTTGCTTCCTCCGAAGAGGACTAGGCCCTTGGGTTCACACGCTCTCCTGGTCCTCCCTCACCCTCTCCAGGTCCCCATCTCAGCCTTCTCCTGTTCTCTGCCAGGCTTATCAATATTCCTGGTTTCGCCCATGCTGGCCTTGGCCGTCTGTCTTCTCCCTGCAACACCAGTGAGATCATGGACTCCCTGCCTACCCTCTCTCTGCCTCTCTGCCAAGTGCTCCCAAATTAGCATCTTCCGCTGAGACCCCTGTCCTGAGCTCAACACCAATATTTCTAACTGCCTGGTGGCCAGGTGCTTCTGGATGGAAAATAGGCACTCCAGACTCGGCTGATTTCCTAAACGGCATCATCTTGCTTCCCAAAGCGATTTCTCCCCTTCCGTATTCCCCATCCGGACACAAAGACACCTTCATCCCCGCACCTGTTCCGGTCGGAAGTTCCTTCCTCTTGTCTTTTGTCCAAATCTCATGAGTCACCAAATGCTATCGAACCTACGTTCTGACTTTCGATTCTATCACCCTCTCTCCATCCGTCCCTGGTCCCTGCCTCAGCTGAAGCCCCTCACCCAGCTCGGAGCTGGAGGGTTGAGTAAATACTCAGGCTAGACTCTCTGCCCTGCCACTAGGCTTCCACTCTGTGTGAGAGCTATCTTTTTTAAAATGCATTTATTTGAGCCTGTCACTCTCACGCTTGAAATGTTCCCACCTCCTCTCCCTTCCCTTCGGAATAGAGTCCAGCTTCTTTTGCATGACAGCTCCGAGCAGCGGGGGTTAATAACCAGTAGGGACTCTGGAGTTACATAAACCTGGATTTCAATCCTGGTCTTGCCCGTAGAACGGTAGGTGACTTCAGCCAGGAAATCTCCCTGCTCCCATTTGTAAGACGGGGACAACAGCATCTCGCTGATAGCGTTGCTGGAAATATTCAAAGTGACGATTCCTGTCAAGTACCTAGCACAGTGTCTGGTCCAGAAGAAGCATTCAATTAAGTTTAGCGACTCTATTCATAGTTATCAAATTTAAAAGATCCTAATCACAATGGTTTTAATAGACATCTAGTTCCCGGTGTTTCTCAGAGCCTCCCCAGGGTTCGGGGGCTGTGCTAGCTGAACGAGTAGGTTCTGGCCCCACAGGATGCCTGCAGTCCCCAAGTGTACGATGTCTTCACACATTCCGTTTCTTCTGTCTGGAATGTCCTCCCCTTTTTTGTAGCCCTGAGAACCCCTGCTCCTTCTTCGAGATGCAGCCCTAGGTGGCCTTCCCTTCCCTTTCTCCTCTTCTCTCTGGGCCTTCCTCCTTGCCTCTCCCCGTCCCTATCCTGACACCCCTTCCTATTCCTTACCGTCAGCATTCGGCTGGCAGCATTCCTCAGGGGGAGGATTTGTCCTTGTTCGTCTCCGTGGCGCCAGCACCCAAGCAGTGCCTGGCACGCCGTAGGTGGTCAGGAAATGCTTGAGGAGGAGCCTAATCCACCCGCCCTTCGACTCTTTGCCTTACATGAGGGAGTCGGGCAGGAGATGCCCCAGGCTCTTGGGGTCCTGGAGGTTACAGATCAGGAGCAGGCCCGGACCGGATCTCTGCGAAGAACTTCCAAGGTTTTAGGGGTCCCAGAACACGGGAGCAGGAAACTGCCCAGGGGCAGGGCGTCTCCGACGAAGCCCAGGTGCCCCTTGCCCGTACGTGGCCACCGTCCCAGACGGAGCCCGCTCCTGGTGATAGTAACTGAGAACGAGGAGTTCACTGAGCTGCGCCACCGCCAGCGGCCCCCATCCGTTGCCGAACACGGCCGATCTGGGGAGGAGCGTTGGCTTTTATTATCCCCAAAGACATCAGATTCAGCCCTGCCGACAGGATTGTTTGGGGATGGCGGTTAGCCGTTGGAGTGTACGATCAGGAGCAGAGGAGTGAAGCATGCCTAAAGAGAGGCAGGAGGAGGAGGGAGGAAGGGCCGCCAGAGGGACAGAAAAGGGGATGGGAACCCAGAAGTCTCGGCTTCCTCAACTGCTATGAACTGGGGCTGAGGCCTGAGGCCCCTTGCAGGGTAGGGCCAGGGCTCCCTGACCCCTACCCGGGAAAAGGCTCCAAAGAGAAGAGACCGGGGTCTCCGTTTCCCTCACGTGTTTATAAAGCAGGATCATAACTGCACCCCGCTTCGGGATTGCTGTGAGGATGAAAAGAGGTAACACAGTTCACACAAAGTGCTTAGAACAGAGCCTGACAGGTGGTCATAAATCCATATTAATAACGTCATTAGCATCGGTGATGTAAATATTAGTGACATTAACGTGAATCGATGTAAGTCCCAGTTACAATCATGTCCTGGGAAAGAAAGAACAACGCACACTAACGGGCGACCGATTTTAAGCACGTGACCAGCTTCTAGACTGCATGGTCTTTCACTCACCTCCTCTCATCCAGTTTCGCAGTAACCCTGGGAGGGAGGAAGGGCTTTTTGACTCCTGTTGAACAGATGAAGAAACTCACCGTGGCGAGGGAGAGACACCTGGGAATGTGGGTCACAGCCAGAAGATGGCAGAGGTGGAACTTGAGCCTGGGTCTCCTGTTTTGCTTTGCTTTTTGTACTAGACTTGTTGTTTCAGAAGGAAACAATGCACAAAATAGTTACACGTAGAGATACAGTATCACTCAACGTGTACAGTACCTCTGATTTCTGCTGACTCCAAACTACAGTAAGAACAATTTGATATTGCTAGCTACTGCACGTTCACACACACACACACACACACACACACATCCTCACACACCTCTAAAAAGTGAAACAAGTTGTACAAAAGGATATTGTCTTCTGCTGTGGATGCACCATGATACTTTCAATCCTGTTCTGTTTCATTAATAAAACATACTGGCTCCTATTTTCTAAGTTGATTTCACCACTTGCTAATAGGTTCCAACCTGCAATGGAAAACCACTGCGAAAGAGAAAATTGCAAAGAACAAAGTAAAATCACGACTCAAGTTAAAAATTATAACTATTTGGTTCCACAGGAATCCTGGTTTCTCTTCCTGCCTGGAGGCACGTACACGAGGTTGCAACAATGAGAATGAGGTCTTTAGGCTCCGTAAGGAAAAGGCACGCGGTAAAAGGGAAGGCATGCTGCGGTAGGTAGCAGAGAAAGACGCAGATGAGTTACGGAGAAGTTCAGAGGCTAAGATCACTTCTAACTGAGGGGATCACAGAGCTCTTCCTGTGAGAGAACTTGGCACCGGGGCAGGGAGTCTGATCCAAGCTGAGGAACCAGAAAAAGATGAGGAGAATTGTGAGTGGCGGCTGGTTGGTCACAGGGTGGGCCGAGGCCCGGAATGGGAGATGACTTTTCAGTGGCGGGGACTTTGAGGCCAGCTGACTGGGGGTCTTGAATGCCAATCTGGGGAGAGGGTGGATGTTACCCTGTAAACAGTGTAGGGGAAGGGATTATAGAAGAGGAAGAAAAAAATTAAGGCAATAATGAGATGTCTTTTACACTGGATACTCCGCCTGGCCAAGAGGGAGGGCTTGGATGGTTGGTGCCCCACATGGTGGGGTGTGGACTACGGCAGCCATTCTGAAGGGCCGCCCGGTACTTCTTAGGCCAATGAAGGATACGCATCATAGGAACCAGCACGGCTGTCTCCGGATATCTATCCAAAAGACATTCTCACGCAGGCCTAGCAGGGAAGATGACAGGGATGATGGGACATCAGAAAGAATGTAGGCGTTCGTCACTGCGAGAGCGGCTAGAGAAAATGTGGCGGATTCACTCCATGGAGTACTCTGCAGCAGGAGGAGACAGTGGATTAAATGGCTGGCTACATAACAACAAGGAGAGATCTAAAATGTAGTTCTGAGGGAAATAAGGTAACACGTGGAATGAGATTTAAAACACAACTATTTATGTAAATTAAAAGTACATTAATGGATCTTGCAATCATGCATAGAAACCAAATATGCTTTGACCATAGTAGAATGGTTTTCTATGGCGGGGGGGGGGGGGGGGGGGGGGGGGGGGGGGGGGGGGGGGGGGGGGGGGGGGGGGGGGGGGGGGGGGGGGGGGGGGGGGGGGGGGGGGGGGGGGGGGGGGGGGGGGGGGGGGGGGGGGGGGGGGGGGGGGGGGGGGGGGGGGGGTGGAGATCGGGAAATGAGGATAAAAGAGAACAACAAAAGTGGGAGAAACCAACAGGAGGGAGTGCCTTAAGCAGGTGGGTAACATACTCAGAGCCGTGTATACAGAAGGTTACTCTGGGGAGAGGGTGCAGAAGGAGTCAGAAGTGAGCAGCACCCGAGGCAGGGGGCCAAGTCACAGGCCTCAAGGACAGAGCAGATGAGAGGTGCTGAGAATGACAACAAGGGAACAGGCCACAGCAATGGATCGGGGCGGGCGAGGGCCGGGGTGTGGGGGCTTTGACATTATGGCGCATAGAATATTGCCCGAACCTGGAGGAGGGAAGGGGCAGAAGGGGGTTGCTGTGGCAAAAAGTAATCAACGATGTCTCGGGACCTTCCTGCCTGAGTGACTGCGAGGATGTGCCACCTTCAAGGAAATTGGCAGCTGCCAAAGAGTTTACTTCAGGCCAGGCTGGGTCTCAGCTCTCAATGGGCAGCGGCAAGTGGCCATGGCAGCTGGGAGTGTGGATCTGGAGGCAGATCTAGAGACTCAGCTGAGTTCTCTCGTCTGCCCAGAGGAGCTAGAGGAGTCCCTGGGAAGAGTTTATGAAGAAACGGCCCAAAGGACAGGCCTCTGAGGACCATCTACACCACTGGGGGGGGGGGGGGGGGGGAGTGGGGGGGGGGGGGGGGGGGGGGGCATCTGGTGGGGAAGGGAAGCTAAAGTAGTTTTGTCCTGAAACCAGAGGAAAAGTATAACGAAGAAATTGGACCAGATGGTTTCCTGGGTCCTTTCCAGCACCAATACTGTATGGTATGGTTCCATTAAGTGTGTTTGGCAGATGTCTTCGAGATCCTCAGATTATTTGTAATCTGCAAATTTTAAACAAATAGTGTAGTCAGACTCAGGAGCATCGTAGCGTATCAGAGAATGCCAAGATACTTAGACCGCTTCAACATCAGTTTCTTGCTTTGTAAAAGGGCGATAATATTTACCTTTGGGGGTTGTCGCGAAGATCCGAAATGGTACGGAGTAGATATTCAATACGTGGGAACTATTACTCATTATTCTTTCACTTAAAAAGTAATTCAAATCAAAGAGAGGTATGTAAATTCAACCCAAATGACCTCTTCCAGTTGAGGGGACCCGGAGAGGTTTCCGTGCCTCCTCCCATCACCGTCTCCTTTTCCCGTCTTCTTCAGTCCTGCTGCCCCCTGATGCCGAATCTTACCCACTAGACCACCAGGATTGGCTTACAGATAGAAAAATGCTTATGTATCAGTCTGTCTCCTTCTTTTTCAAGGATGCACAGTTTTTCATTGAATAGATAGTTCTTCCATTATTTACTCAGACTCACATCAATGGAAATGTAGGTATTTTACAGACTTTTTGCTTCTAAAATCACTGTTGCAACTTATGCTTGTGCATATAGTTGGGGACGCTTTTCAGTATACCTGGTGGCTAATTGTGATAGGTATTGCTAAATCGGCTTCCAAAGGTTTTGGTGCAACTGCCTCTGGATATTAGCAAACGTTTAAATTTGGCCAGTTGGTTATTTGGTTCTGAATCTCATAGTCCCTCTCAGACATCAGGATGAGCAAAAAGTTAAGCGTCTCCTGACCTCCCTACAAACTGTCTTCCTTAGGGCAGCGGCTCTCCCCACCCATCAGAGTCCCTGCTCAGGGCTAAATGTTGAGCTTGTGATGGAATTTTCCTCAGCCAGGTTTTGATTTTGGCCTTGGGTTTCTTTGGTTGCTCCTTCCCCTCTTCTCTTCCTTTGCTGGTTGGGTCTTCTGTTTAATGGTTGGGAGGTCATTGCGTCTGGTCTTATTGCATCGTGAAGCAGTAGACAAGGAAATGAAGGGCCGGTGGCGACTCAGACAGGTCATGAGGATGAATGACCCCCTGGGCCCGTGCTCACCCCATTCCAGCCTCTGGTCCTGGGCTCTGCAGGCTCAGAAATTCCATTGTGTTGGTAGGCCAGGGGTGAGGGTCTCTGAAGGACTAGATCCCACGCATCACACTCTCAAGGGACAGAGATATAAACCCCTACTAATAATTGGCATCATTCACAGGAATTAGCATTTATTGAATGCCAATCATAGCGTTGACTGCTTTATAAATATTAATACACGTTATCCACAGAAGAACCCGACACAGTAGGTATTCTTTTCATCCTAGTGCTACTGATAAAGCAAATGAGGCTCAGAGATTAAGGGATTTTCACTGTTAGTAAACAGTGAAGTTAAGATCCTAACCGGAAATGTCTGATTCCAGAGATCATGCTCTTAATTTCCCAAAGAGAAGTGTAACCCGTCTGCTCATCAGCTCCCTGTGGGTGAGTCCGTATGGGAAGCCAAACTCCCATTAGAAAGTTGGGAAGAGCGCGGAGGCAGATGACCTCAATGGCTGCCATTATTCAGTCAGGGTATCGTTGAGCTCTAAAGGCTGCCCGTTGCAGAAACTGGTTGCACCCACTAGAGTCACGGTCCATCTGCCTTGGAGGGTACCTGGATGGTCACAACCCCATGGTTGTTTTCCCCCACACCTTGTTTCCAAACCTCTTCTGTAATATGGTTGGTGTGGTAAGAAATCACTTTGTTGTAATTGTCGCCTTCTTCTCTACCACCAGACAAGAAATCCCGGAGTTCACTGCCCAGAAAGGCTCCTAGGCCAAGTGAAGATTTTCAGATCACACAGTTCATTGAATCCATTCAACAACGTAAAACAAGGAGAAAAGGGAAAGGGGTGCTCCGGAGAGGTTAGCACACTCGGAATAGGGTGCAGTGAGGGGGGAAGTCCAACACAGCATCGAACCTTGGGTTACACAATGTTCTGTCCCGACTCGCTCTGCCGTGTCAGCCTTCCCTGCTGATGCTACAGCTAAGAGGACCAGAGCTGAGGTAGGCAAAGGGGCTCAGCACCTGGAAAGTCCCTGAAGCTGACTTATGCTGCTCAATCAGGGAGATATGGGGGCGAGTACGCCTGGCCATAGTTGTAATTCAAAACTAACCCGCTGAATAGCTATAGATTTCCCTGTGTATAGCCTGCAGAGGACATAGCGGGCCACAGTGCGTGTCCCCAGTGGAGGGCTGATTTAAGGCATGAATACCGGGTACCTCATGTACCTCGTGACTATTTGACGTGCTGTTTACTTGGTCCTTTCACCCGTTCCTCCCTGTGTTTACCACACTTGCTCTACTTGATTTATGCCTAACACGTCTCACAAGCTATGCTCACTTATTATCTATAATTAGTTTCTTCTCTTTATTTGTTCATTTCTCTTAGTTCCTATAGAAGAATTAAATATTCTTAAATAATTCGTTTAACACCTTACAACAATCAAGTCAGCTGGCGAGTCTATTTGATTCTTTAAGATGACTTTACATTTTTCTGATCTAATCCTGAAACATCCGGCCCTGCCCATCTGTTCACGCCTCGTCTGCACCCACCATCCTCCTTTCTCTCTGATTCCAGCTATGCTGACTCCCTCCCTTCCCCCGTGATCACAGAGCGCGTAAGATGTAGATTGGGTGAAACAGACAATAAAGACATCAACTTTGGTTTCTGTGTCACTTCACGGCTTCACTCTTTCACATAGATCTCCTTCTCTTTTGATCCTTAAAACATTCCTGTGAGAAAGGTAGGAATTCTCGGTAACACTCAAGATGAGTAAACTGAACTTTGGCAAAGCTAAGATTTGCCATGGTTCATGTAGCCCAGGTTATCATCTTCTCATTGTTTGCCGGGAAAATTATACATGCTTATTTTAAGTCATTTGAACAATTCAGAAATGTTCAATGAGTATAAGTGACACCTATAAGTCATTCTTAAATTTTTGTGAACACTTCACCTGATAATTCCCCTCACATCCATACATATTTCTATATACACGTACGTAACATTCTGCGTAATTGGTAGCTCAGTTCTTTTGGTTCAACCAGAGATATGACTTGTACCTCAATAGCTCGACTGTAAGGTACAGAGCGAGAGGTTTCAAAAGAAGAAAATAAGAATGTAGTGAAAGATGACTCAGGAGCGTCTAGCCTGGGTGCCCCAGAGGATAATGCTGCTATCCGGAGAAGTAGGGAGCCTGGAAAGGAAAGGGAAGACTTCAAACTGATCCATTGTGAAGTTTGATTAGCCAGTGAGACACTCAGGAGCCTCTGTGACCATGGTAATGGACGTAAGCCCGCAGACTGGATTCTATAACAATTCGTATATATTCTAGTGGAAGTCCTGACTTCACCCAGGGAGGGAAGAGATGGCAGCCAGGGCTGGCTTACGGAGGGCATCTGAGCTACTCGGGGATGGAAATGAGAAGGAATTTATTTTGTTAGCAAGTCAAAGAGATAAAAGAACATTATATTCCTTTCTGTTACAGATGGTTAAGAACTTTTTTTAAGAAAGCCATTTGCTAATGCACAAAGCTGCACAATGCACACTCTGTAATCCGGCAATAATCAGAGGCTGGATACAGCTAACAGAGCGTTCAGTGACACCCCATCATGATAGCATTTAGAGGAGCAGACAAGGCGGGAACAAGGATCACTGCTAAAATCACTGTAAAGAGGAGGTGTCACTAACGGTTAAAGGACAAGATCTGGGGGAAATCTGGGAAGAAAGAAAGAAACATGTCCATTAATTATAAAATTCGATCCTGTTAACAATACAAACCAATAATGTGTAGTAAAACAAGCTGACTGCATTTTTCACTCACCCGTCTTTTACATTTGCCCCAAATTCGCTGAGGAAATAAAAGCTGTTTTACCTTTTTCCTCCTGTGACATTTTGTACTACCGAAAATTTAATAGGGTCATTCACCGGATGTTTTTCTTTTCCATCAGAGAAAGCAAATTTAACATTATGGTAAACAAATCAGGTTCAATACATATTCAGATTCTAAATACTTTTGTTTCATTTAAAGCAAAACCGTTACTTAGACCAGCGGTTCTCAAACCTTCCTGTGTTTCAGAATCACCTGGAGGGCTGGCTACAGCACAGATGCCCAGGTCTCAGCCCCTAGAGTGTCTCATTTACTAGGTCTGGGGCAGGTCCAAGATTTTGCATTTCTAACAAGTTCCCAGGTGATCTGAGATTAAAGACCACGCTTTAAGAACGACTAGTGTAGACAATGGACATGTTTTCCCCCCCTCCCTTCCACTATTTTTTGATTTCTCTTCAAGTTTTCTCTCTCTCCTTCTCCAGAGTATCTCAGCGAGGGTCAGATATATTCAATCTGCATTGCCTTTAAAGTTTAAAAAACAACAACACGGTGATACTTGAAATAGCAATGCCATCAGTTGCGGGTGAGATTTTAATTTAGAGGGAAAATGAAACACCTTGAACACTGAATCCTCTTACTTCTCACCTGGACACCTTCATCACAATTGTTATTCTCGCCAGCTCCTCCTTGATCCTCCCCAACCCCTCCCCCACACCGTATTATCTCAGTAGGAAGCCAGGCATTCTGCTCTTTCTTCAAAGCCTGACGCCGGCCCCACCTCCAGCCCAGCTTTCCCCAGTTCCCCAGCAGCCAGTGACTTCTGTAGTGTTAGGACTCCTGTAGTAATTACTGTCTACATTTCTCATCATAATGAATACATGCTACCATGTACTATTGTGCCACTTGTGTAAGCGTGTGTGTGTGTGTGTGTGTGTGTGTGTGTGTGTGTGTATGTATGTATGTATGTATATGTATTTTCTATATTATTTCTCTTCCCCGTGCTGCTGGGCAAGTCTCGCATCCTTTGACTTTCTGGCATCTCTTTTGCTAAGCCCCATGTTTTAAACCTGGTTCACCTTCAACTGTTTGATGCTAAAGAGAGCAGCCAAGTGTGGCGACCAGTAAAGAAAATAGCAGGTTTACCTTTTGGGAGCTGATGGAGAATTTCTTCTCTCAACTACTCCCATAACCAATTTATAAAATTATAAAATCATAAGCCTAGAATGCTGAAAAAACCTTTTACTCACAGATGGGATCATTGCAAAAGTATAATTAGGCTAGCGGTGTGGACCTACCGCATTTCAATCCAAACCAGGGCAATGTAGAAGTGGTAGTGTAGGGAACGGCCTACTGTCTTCTTCACCATGCTGATTCTGGAGAATAACTTCCTTTTGCCTCGTCGCAATGAACGTGTGCTTTCTGTACTGCCGGCGAGTGTGCTCCTGCCGGTCTCTCCTAAGCCGCAACAGGCCCCGCGAGGAAAGTCACCCACACCCGACTGACCCGTTTCCTGAAGACTTCCTTTCAGGACATTAAGATCATCTAGCTCGCTCAGCTTTTATAGAAGGATCCTATTAAATTGTCCCTGCATGTGTATCTTTGCAACGTTGTCACTAAGAGACCATATCTCATAGGTCCTTGACTAAAGTCTCCCTTGAAGGTAGCACCGAAGGAAAACAAAACTCTCAGCAAGCAGTTTTGAGAGGGCTTTTTATTGAACACTAAAAACACAGCAATCAATACTTTTCATCCAGTGGCCAATTTGCCGGGCCAACTTGTTTTAAAACTGCACTAACGAGCTCACTCTGATCTCACAGCCTCTTTATTTCTTTGGAGTTTCGAACGCTTTCTGGTTGGATTTGTTTTGCTCCTGGCTCAGACCTTGTGAAGTGAGCAGACATGTCACAGGAGGGTATCCAACATGAACAGGGCCCTCAAGCCATCCGGTCCCTGACCCCATTGAACAGAGGGGTGAAGTGTGGTGCAGATAAACTGACGAGGCTAAAAGCCATGAGGTGGCACAAGTGGCCTCTCTGAACTACAAACCTGAGCTGGCCTCCTTCTGCCGGTTTCTTCTCTCCGGAGCCCGGGCCGACGACCACAAATGAGGATAGCGCGCGCCAGAAAGAAGCCTGGGTCAGCAGGGGCCCGGAGAACGTTTCGGATGGAGGAACAAACCCAGAGGCAGCTTTTGGCTTTGAGGGTTGTGAGCGCTTTGGGCGCCACTAGCTGTCAAAGTCCGAGCTGACTGGAGCCACTGTCAAGTGCAGCTACCTCCCAGCTTGGTTGGTGTCGTACTTGACGCAAGGGCCCAGCTCCTCTGCTGACTGTATGGTCGGCCCTCAAAAGGGCCTTTGGGGTCGTCAGGCGTTCAAGTGGAGCGGCAGCTTAGCCTCCGAAGCCGTACAGGGTGCGGCCCTGGCGCTTGAGCGCGTAGACCACGTCCATGGCAGTGACCGTCTTGCGCTTGGCGTGCTCCGTGTAGGTGACCGCGTCGCGGATGACGTTCTCCAGGAACACCTTCAACACACCCCGGGTCTCCTCGTAAATGAGGCCCGAGATCCGCTTGACTCCCCCACGCCGAGCAAGACGCCGGATGGCGGGCTTGGTGATGCCTTGGATGTTGTCTCTCAAGACTTTGCGGTGCCGCTTAGCGCCCCCCTTGCCTAACCCCCTTCCCACCCTTTCCTCTGCCAGACATGACTGCCGCAGGTCGGAGACACGATCTCTGCGAGCGGCGAGGGCGGCGTCTTTCCTCATATGCTTCAGCGTCGGACCACATTGAAAACCCAAAGCGCGCGGGCGGGAAGCATTGTAAATTGTCCCCGACCGCTCTGTGTGTCGTCATTTCTTTCCGGCTGTTTCCATATCCCCCTCCGCCCTCCCCGACTCCCTCTAACGGACTCTGCCCTTCGTGGGAATCTATTTGCCATAGTCGCCGGGAGAATTCGGATCCAAGCGGATCCCGCAGCAGTTTTCGCCTCTGCCTCTCTCCGTCTGTAGGCTCCCCGAAGGCTCTCAACTTGGGCTAAGAGGAAAGGTCCTTCTGGCGGCAGGAGACCAGAAGAGGAGCCAGTGGATCCAGAGACGGGAAGGAGAAGAGAGCGCCAGCGCCGGGTCTGATCCCGACCAGAGGGTCCCAGGCTTCCGAACCGTGTTCCATAAAACTGCAACGAAAGCAGTTCCGAGAAGTGGACGGACTGACCGACGAGGCGATCGCACGAGCAGGGCACCCGGGCTGTGGAGGGAGGGGGAAGAGCGCCGTAATTCCCGAGTCTAGTCTCCCGTTGGTATGAGGCGTGGAATTCTCCCTCACCCGAGAGAAATCGGATCCTAGGGAAACCGGTCTCACTACACCGCCAAGCCTTCTGGTGGAGTCAGTGAACCCACCGCTCCGCTGAAGGAAGCCACATATGCAGAAAGGAGGCTGAAGGATGCGCTGTACGTCCGTTTCTGCAGATCCCCTAAAACCCACCCTTTTCAGCCGGGATTCAGGGCCCAACCGTGTCTCCACCGAGGCCCGCGCGGGGCCAGCGAAGTTTGCTGAATAGAGTTTCGCGAGAGGACAGCCGCTCCAGATGGAGAGTCGTTACCAGAAACTGCCCTACGAAATTGTTTGGGGTCCTGACCTGTATAGCACGTTGGTTACTTTCGGGCCTCCTGTAGGAGAATCCACAGATGTTGTGGTTTCTGCATCAGAAAGGATGACAGGTTTTTTTCTGAGAAATGTGTATTATTTGAAAGTAGCGTATGCGCCTTTCTGCATCTCTGCTTTGGCTCCCGCTACCCTCTATATGCTAATGAATCCCAAATCTACATGTGTATCCAGACTTCTAGGCTCCACACCTGTGGATCTTCCTGGTTGTTCTTTAGTCATTTTAAACTTAAAATCCAAAGTGTCCCCAAATCAACGTGTTTAAACTTAAAATCTCCAAGGTGTGACTCTCACAGGAGCTGAGGGAATCCATTCTCTTCCTTCTCCAACTCATTGACTGGCTCTGTGTCTGCTTCTGAATGGTGCCACCATGCCACACATGCCTAAGCCAGCACCCTGGAATTCACCCTAGACGGTGAAGGGTTGTAGGACAGGCCACCCCAAAATATGCCTGTAGGAGTTTGGGACATGCCACTCCAAAATATGTTGTTTTGGCATATTGAGTATTTTGAGCTGTAGGCACTTGGAACACAGCCAATGAGGGGCTGGCCTTCTTTGAACTCCCCTTATCTGCCTGAAGATAGATCCTCCAGAAGGAGCTCAGTTGACATCAGTCCCCTCCCCGGGAGTTTCGTCAACCAAGGAAGTCGGACTCTCGTCAAAGGAGAGGAGACTTGAAGTCCACAGCACACTCAGACAAACTTGGTCACCAACTGTCATACCTCCCATCGATTCTAAAGACCCAGTCATCTTTCCTAAAAATCGTTCACTCTCCTCTGAGAGGCATACGTGCTCCCTCTGCTTTCTGTGAAGATGCTACTTAAGTCTGAATTCTAAGCCACCTCGGGAAGTTACTCATTTTTCCCCGGCTATCTCCCGTGTATACGTGAGGTACGCATGCTACTAAACGTCTGTTTGTCTTTCTCTAGTTAATCAGTCTTTTATTACAGGGTCTCAGCTAAGAACTCAGAAGGGTAGAGGGAAAATTCTTTGTCCTCCCCTACAATGTCTTCCTCTCCCTTGGCTGCTTCAGGGGGGAGAAACACACCTGCTCTTTTCTGACCCTTCAGCAGCTCCTGCAGAATCGACCACGTTACTTTACATCTCTTTTCATCTTACATATTCGCCCCACCCCCACCCCCACTGACTGTCTGTCTGGCAGTGATTTTTGTTTATTTTCCTTTGTCAGCTGATAAGTAGTTCAGTGTGTAGCGTAAGCTCCATAATTGTTTACAGGATGAACGGTTCCTGCGTTTGACTGCTTTTAAACAGTAGTAGCAAAGAAAGTCACAGCCCAATTGCAACAGGATAAAGCAATCCAAGCCAAGGATGATGGGAGTGAGGGGTTTTGGTGTCAGAGGGGACAGGACCCCAGGCGGAATCAAAGATAGTCTACAAACTTTCTTTTCAATAGTCTTCATCCTCCTCTGAGGGGCCGAACCACCCATTACCTAAACAAAATTATCTCCAAGATCACCTCTCCCTTTCCCCGTTGCAAGTAAACTCAGACTGAGGAAGCGACTCACATGCAGGCGTGAATGAGTACCTGAGGTATTTATCAAGACGGGACTCTGACGGGAGAGTGGTGTGGGAGATTGAATCCAACTGGCGGGATTAATAGAATGGTTATTTTGGGGTGGGAGTGGGTTTCCCTGGAGCCTCTAAAAAAACATTCTTCCTAAAAGAACAAGGATTGGCAATTCTCTCCAAGAGAAGTTTGGGGGAAAAGTGGTTTAGAAGATTGCGAGTAGCTCCCAACTAGCTTAGTGCCCAGTGCAGGTGCTAGCTCCGCACAGGTTTTGGCTTTCTTCTGACAGGCAAATGGCTGCATTGCTCTAAGTCATGCTGGGCAGCCACTTTCAGCTGTAGGCAGAGGTAGGTGAACAGTTTGATGGAGTCTTGACATCCGCTGTGCACTTCCTGTTAAAGCTTAGCATCTCTCATCTGAACTCCTTAGGAACCTCTATCAGAATGTCTTTTTGGTCAATTCTCCGCCAGGTCACAGAGTCTCTTGCTTCAAAACCACGGCTTCTCAACCTGATAAGGTTCTATAATCATGCATTTAGACTCCTTCAACCTTGTCCCTACCTGCCTTTCCAGAACTATCTACTTGCCACATCCTCCCCACACACTCTAGCCACAACTACTCTATAGATCCTGAGCTCTGTGGAGACTAGGGTTTACAGAGCCTTTTACATGTGAAGTTTTTCAGAGGTCCCTTTTTGGAGGCTCCTGGTATATGGGGCAGTGGGCGGAGGGTGGCCAAAACCGGGTTGTAAAATTTTGACATATTTTCAGTGATTACATTTAATTAATCAATGCTTGACTCACACAATTACAAGACAACGTACAACTTCATTTGTAGATTATATCAAAAGCCTAAATCAGAAGTCATTCATGAATTTGAGACTTGTGTCATGGTCCTTCTGAGTTTCCCCCAATAGGCCCTGTTGGTTCATGCCTTTGCTGCCTACCTCCCTGTATGGTGTTCCTTAGTCTGGTTTATCCTTTCATTCTATTTGATAAAATTCCTTTTTAAGGCATGGCTTAAATATGAATTTCCAAATTGTTGTTTCTTTCTTCCAGTTCTCATAACTACTGTGGGTATCTTTTTTTATCAATAATAATATTAGTGGCTGTATTTTAATGAATACTTTCCATGCTTCAGGCTCTAGGAAACATTTTTTCATGGATTCTCCTGTTTAATTCTCAGAGCAACCCTGTGAGGTGGCTAATGTTTGACTTGCCCTTTGCCAGTGAGAAGACTGTTGATCTGTGAATTCCCCAGGGGAAGGGGTGTGAGAGATGTGGGCTGAGTACTGTCGCCACCACTCTCCTCATCTGTAAAATGGGGTTTATAATACCTTTCTCTCAAGCCTGTGAGCATGAAATGAAGTCATGCATCTAGACTGCTGATTACAAAAACTAAATGAAAAGAATGTTGAGGAAGAAGACATGCTAAGAAAAAATAGTCCCTTTTTTCTGGAAAAAGGCTATACATCAGTTGACTTGTGAGCATTCTGTTCTAATTTTCCCTGTAAACCAGAAGTATTAGGCATCATACTAACACCTGTAGCCTGAACACACACACACAAATCCAAGTCATTTCTATTAAATAAATACATTAAAACATATAGCCCTTAAAATTCCTGCCATGTGTAGCTTAAGTCTCATGAGGATGGTTAATGGAATAAAAATACTTGTCATGTGGAGCACGTTACTTGAGCTCACCTCGTTCCACTGGGATATGTTACGCTGGAAAGCCAGGAATCCTATAAACTTGTAAGGGAGGGAAAACCTCCTTCTGCCCCTCCGATTCTGTGGCTAGGCCCGAGAATTAAATTGACATTAGAGTAGGGACAGTAAATTACGGGACAATGACTAGAAATACAGGGGGGAAGCTAACGGAAGACAAGGGTGTTTTAGCAGCTTTGTTTGTACAGCTGCAGTTCCACATCAGCTCCCAGTCGCTGGTGATCAGAGTGTTCTCTTCGTGGTCCTGGGAGGGCGCCTTCCTCATGGGAAATTTTATGAGCTGCTTTTAGACGAGAAGAGGGATGTCGGAGCTGCCTTCCTGCATCTGCTGTTTCTCAAGTACCTTCAGTTCAAAATAGTCGACATACCAGAGCGACTAGTTTTGGGGTGGCGTGTTCTGAACCCCTTCGAACTCAAAGCTGCTGTAGGGAAGGCAGCATTTCACCTCTACCTTCTTAGAGCTTTTGGCTGGGCCTGAGATTTAAATTGATGTAAGACAGGCTAACAGGAGGAAAGCATACAAATCTATTTACTGAAAGTTTTACTTGGCAGGGGAGCCCTAGTAAGGACATGAAGACCCCAAGAAGCGGGTTAGAGTTGAACCCTTCCATGCTGAATTGGACAAAGAGTAGCAAATCGTGACAATGTAACAAGACAAAAGGGCCCCAGCTGGGCAGTTAATGGTGGAAAAGTAACTAGGAAGGTAAAGGTTAGGTTAACAAGGTTTATACACCTTTCTCTCGGCTTTGACTCCCCATCCTTGGTGATAAGAATGTTATTTTCCTCCTTTT